ATTAATATATTAAGTATATTGCTATAAAATTTCATTTTATTTGTAAGTAAGTAGCAAAAGGCTATATTGATTTATCGTTTGTTTTAATTAATCAGCAAACTGCTGATAGATTAACAAAACCATTTTTGTCTATCAAATATATATAATTCATTAAATTATTATATATAGGTAAATATCAACATAATAGAACAATCCAATTGTTGAAAGCCTAGGACATTTGTATCGATAATAATGATATATATTAGGGAAAGGTTAGCTAAGGATAATAACTAGGAAAGGGAAATTAGAAAGAATAAACTAGGATCAAAGTTCTAAAGATTAAGAGATTCATATATTGCTTATATTATTGATTAAGGGGTATATTGAATATAACCAGTTTTGTGACATATATAATATATATGTAGGGTATAGTTAGTGGCTGTTAGTCTAATACATATATGCATATAACTTTTTCAAAAGCTCTCTCTCTTAATATTCTTCAAGTTAGCCAACAAGCATTGAACCCACTATATGATATCCAGTCTACGTGATTCATCATTCAATCATACTTGACCTATAATTTCAACATCAATTATACGAAATTATAAAGAGATATTAAACAGAGTAGAAGAAAAAATAAGTGATCAAAAAAATGACAATAAGCTTTTAATCACAAAGCAAAAATTGAATCAATAATAATAGATTCATAAGCTCTACTTATACAATACAAAATTCCCTATAGCCCTAGACATTACATCCCTCCAAGACACACCAGCGCCCAAGATCAATCAAAGCAATCATGCTTGCGATCTTTCTATGCTTCCATTATCCATTTTTAACCTCGGAAAGAGCTACTCGAGTACTATAGTATCGGAGTATCAATGAGCTGAATTTATATTCAAGTATAAACTTTATAATAATAAACAATTCAAGTCCCGACTCAATACAGAAACTTGAAAGGAAATATCGATATTATTCCGTTATATTCAACTAATTTGACTAGTAATATAAAAGCGCCCTCAAATTGCATCTTCGGGCTTATTAATTTATAGTATCAACAACTTTAATCAACTGAAGAAGCCAAAGTGTGTTGGGTATGATGGGGATTGGAGTAGGGATGCAATTTATGAGTGATGAGGTTTGGAATTGAGATTTCGAGACTTTTCATAAGTTTAGTAGTTATATTAATATAGAGGATAATCTTATATAATTACGGTGTATATAATAGCGAAAATATAAGAAATGTGAAACAGCGATAAGAATAAAAATATATACTCAAACAGAGACAATATAAATATAAACGATCATAAAACTCCCAGGCTTCAAGTTCATAAACAATAATAACTAGACCTATCACTATCACTATCATCATCACCATCACCTAATATCCTCTCTCCTCTCCTCTCCTCCTTCCCCTCCTTCCCTCTGCTCACTTTCCTCTCTTCTCCTTCCCCTCCCCCTCCTCCTCAGCGAAAAAGAAAACCCTACAATTCAAAAACGACGAAATATAAGAGCTTCGACTCGACTCAACCAATACCCCTCCCTACTCTACTTCAAGTGCGGAAACAAGAAATCTTTTATACTAATATTTATAAATTATCCTCATTAGCTTACTATCGGTACTCTCAATTCGCAGCTTATTAATCATAAATCATAAATCATAAGAGCACTCCACTTTTACTTTTACTTTTAAATAAATACTTGAGTATATAAACAATGACTGCTACTACTACTACTATTATTACTAATAATACTAACAACTACGAATACGAGTATGAATAATAAATAGTGTTACAACTACTCGTATATACACCCCATATAAGACTGTTAATATATCTATACATACTAGTGACTACATCACATTCCACATTCCATACTCTATACTCCAATTCCAAAACTAAAGTTTATAATTTAAAGATCGAACTGAATCTCACTACTAGTATTGCAAATACTCTCTCTATCTAATATATTTATCTTCATCTTCATCTTTATTCATACTAACTATACTATTCTACTAAATTTCCATCTCTCATCTCATCTCATCCCCCCCTCTCCCCTCCTCCTCCTCCTCCCTCCCTCCTAATCCACTATCCCCACCTCCCTATCACCTATCCCCATCCCCTATCTCCCTACTCAACCTCTTAACCTCTCAACCCTCATACATTCCATTATCTCTATCTCCATCTCTATCAAACTTCCAAACTTCCAAATTATCAAATTTCTCATTAGCTTACTTATACACCTACCCCTTATACCTTTACCCCTACCCCTCACTCACTCACTCACTCATTCACAAAAGAATTCAAAAACACTTCAAAATAACAGAATCTAGTACGAGTTCTAGCACTACCAACTAACTAATTAGCTAATTATATATGCCTATCAAGATATCAAGATATCAAATTATCAAATATCAATCCATTCAATCCATCCATCAAGAAATCAAAACTAAATTCCATCCACATCAATCATCCATCCAACCATACCATTCCATCCATCCCCACCCATCCTCACCAGCATAAAAACAAAAAAACAAAAACAAAAAGGTATCGCAACAAACAACCGGCCTAGCTGGCCATCCAACCCATCCGACTGCCAGTGGTCCTAAACCTAGACCTAAACCTAAACTCCCATTATAAGTCATAGAATAGAGCAAGTATAAAATCCGCAAGTACTCGAGTACTTGTACTCATTTCTGAGCCCTGCTTGTCCTGAATCCAAATCCAAACGCCGTATCTTGATCATATCCCAAATAGATAAATATTCCCCTAATGAGCTCATCAACCCATTAGTATCAACTTATTCTCCGAATCATTATAGCCCTCACCCCAATCTGCCATTAAATCCCTCATCTCTCATCTCTCATCTCCCATAATTTGGCTTCCTCGCCATATTAGCCACCGGCGGTGGTCCATCTTCCAACGGATAAGGCGCATTCCCATTTCCAATCGGTCTCCTTTGCATCCCATCACCAGGTCTCTCCCCATTAATAGGAGTTTTTGGCGGTAATGGTGGTGGTCCCGAAACTCTCCTTGGATTTCTTGGCGGAGGATCTGAGATTCGAATTTCTGGACGGGGAAATTCATCCAGACTCATGATTGCGATTTTGTCTGATCCAGATGCGGTACGGTATTGTGATGGGGTTGGAGAATTGACTGTTAATCTATCGCCATTGTCCAAAGGTCGTGTTGATGGGGAAGAATGTGGGGATTGGTGGTCTGAGAAGGAATCAGGTGAGAGAGTATCATTTCTAATGGAACTGAGTGGGGCGATTTCGAGACTATCGTGATGACCGGATTCGTAACTTGGTCGCGGAGGTGGTGTCCATGCATTACCGGAAAGAGGAGTCAAGGGAGGCACCTCTGCAGGAAGTTCCACGGCTAGTGGATTAGCTTCCGGAACATCAGGTAAGGTTTTATAACTTTCTCCTCTGTTAGTCGAGGATGGTAGTCTCATGTGACCATTTGCTCTCTGGATTGCCCTATGAACTTTTGACAACTTTACAGCTGCTTCAATATTCATCTTTTGAATGTCGCTTTTGCCAAGATACCTTCTGGTTCCGGTACTGATATCTGCCAGGCGATTCCATTCATTCATTCCAAATTCACCTACGCCGATTTCGACATTCAGTCGATAATAATTTTCGATGTTGACGCCTCGTTTGATGAGATGTTCCTCCTTCATATATTGATGTGTAATTTCGCATCCTTCGATCTTGGATATAAGACGTTTCCGTGCTTCTGCAAATTCACCCATGAAACCTTCATACCACACATGTTGATTATGATCGCTTCCCGGAGGTCTCTTGCCTGTTCCTATGCTCACAAATACACCAACATCTCTTCCGGGCCATTCATTGACCGTAGCTTCGTCGAGGACAACTGGCGCAGGGTTATATTGACCGGCACCTTCGTCGATAAATACTGATTGTCCAATTTGAATAGGTTTGAATGCAAGTCCGGTGGCTGATGTTGCTCGTCCTGCTTCCCATATTTTGCAATCGTATTCCGGTGAAGGCTCTCTTCGAGAATCGTAGGATCGAAGTAAGGCTGGCGCACCACCTTTGGGGGTACCTTTATAGATGGCCGTTACAGCACTGTTCTATGTTAGCTATAAATGTATTCGCAGCTTCCAACAAAACTTACGTCTTGGTCCTCTCTGGTCGATTGTCGTATAATCTAGCGTTTGGATTGCCCCACCTCGATGACATAACTGGCCTATGTTGATAGCTGGTAGGACTCCTATTACTGAAACTTGCGACACTTGCATTACTTGAATGCCGCCTTGGTTCTTTAGTCGCGGTCTGATTGAATGGACTGGTCGGGCTTCCCGGATATGCGGATGCTGAAGAAGAGTTATCTCCATCATTTCCCTCCTTCTCAAATAGTGTATGTTCTCGTACACACTCCTTGATAGCCTCCTCCAACTTCGAAGCCTTGAATAGTGTTGACCGATATGGTATACCCGCAATAGTTTTATCCGTTTCGAAAACCTTCCTTGTCATTCGTACATAGACTTCTTTGCAAGTCTCCAAATCCAGTCGTAATCTGCCGAGCATAATTGCGATCAAACCGCCTGTTCCGGTACCACATATTAAATCGAAATGGTCGGCAGGTTTTGGGATTTGATCTCGTCGAGGCGCTTTTCCTTCAATTTCCACATATGTTCTATGCATGAGCTCTTGTATAATTATGAGCATAGAATATCCTCGTACACCACCTCCATCTGGGGGAGTATTAGTAAGTTGTTGCGCGGAATTTAGAGGGGTCGTTCGCCTTACCTAGAGATAATATACGTAAAGGAGGACCTTTTGTGGTATCCTTTCTCTTGACCACACCTGTATCAACCATCTTAAAAATCTTGATGTTTCTTCTTCGTATTCTTTGGTGAATGAGGACTTTGTAAGGTATAATTATGAAGCGGGGATACTGCAGCCGAAGAAACGAAGAAGCCGTAGAAGAAAGTGTAGAAAAGTGGCGCAGTTGAATCTTTTGGTGATATGGTTCTGGGGGTTCTGGATAATCTATCTTATCCGTAATACTCGTACATGTATTGAAGATACAAGTACAAACAAACGATGACTAAAATTGGATTACTTGTATTTTCTTTAGATTTATTTGTTTATAAGTTCTACAAGTTTTCTCCATGAGATTTTATTACCAAATCTCCGACAAGGCGATCGTATTCTTCTTCTGTATCAGCGTATCTTTAATATATTGATTGTGATAATAGTTATGGGGATTCTTAAGGCTGTGAATCCTTGGAAGTACAAGTAGCCCAGCATTCATTAGATGCCGAGCCGCCGGTTTGAAGCCTATTTGTTAATGGATCATTGGGTTCTTTCGTTCTTTCATTGAAGCATTTGGAAGGGGGTCCAATCAACATTTATTCAATTCGAGGCTACTTACAACGTTCTTCCTTTCCTTTCCTTTCCTTTATAGTCTACCAAGAACTATGTTTATCATCCTCGAGTCCACAACGATGAGTCCACGACGATAAGTCTGGGCCTCCAAGTCCAAAAGATATTTTGTGCGAAGCCTTACATCATTGCTTGTTCTACCTTGTCAGATGACGTTGGGTATGAATTCACTAGGGGGTTATAACTGTTTCAGTGACAGATCATGACGGTTTGTGGCGGTGCACTCTGTTATCCGGCACTCAGAACCGGTGAACCCACACAATCAATATACTCCTTACCTACCTATGGTGGTTTGGACGAACAATATGCCATCATACCCGACCTTTAAGAGATGCCTGATCCGAAGATCTTCAAGTTATTTACTCGAGTACATCTGCGATAAATGTTGAGCCTAGATGTTTCCAAAGTCATAAAAGAGGTCATGGAAACAACAAAACTGAATGTTGCTCAGAATTCCTATACTCAGATGTTGTCGAACTCATAGCATGTTTCGTCTTGCGAGCCGTTGTCAATACTTACTATATACAGAGTAGCTCAATATTAGAATACTTTCACTACTACGTCAATTGCGAAGGGTTCAAAGACCAAATAAATATACTTGGTCATTGAAAGCGGTGGTTGCTTCAACTTTGTCATTTTCGAGGATACACGGTTGAGAAACACCTTTGATATACTCGAGTACTCGAGTACAATATCATTATGTTAGTGCAAGTATCGGAAATCATGTCGGAGGATTTTATCATCAACCTCAAACACCACCACTACCTTCGTCTGAACCCTCTTGAGAACGAAGGTTTTGGGAAACAATGCTCGTCGATATCGTTCCAACCTTCCTTTCTTCCATGTGTCAAACAAGATCTATATATTTCCGATCTGTGGTAAAATGACGATTTTACCCCTTCATATGAAACTATACTGCCGCTTAATTGTTTCGCATCATTTGCTGCAATGCAATGTCAGCTATTGACATATATCATCCTTATGGAACGATAAAGTTTTATCCTCGGACTGTCAAGACTTTCATCATATTTTTACTTTACGATGTTACGGGATCATTAAGAGTTTCTGTTACGATCTACCTACAATGCCCGGTGCATTTTGGAATATTCAAGAGTTTCTGTCAATCTTCCTACCATACCTTGAGACTACTCAGACAGGGTCTACTGGCGCAACACCGTATGGAGAATGGAATGAACAATCATCCATAGTTTCCACGTGTTACAATACAAATCACATTTGTTATCACGAATGATTTTTGATGATTTTCAAACCCCAGATTTGATATATATATCTCTACTACTCGAGTACTTGCAAAGTCTGAACTCCAAACCCCAAGCTTTTACTCTGTTCTATTTGACGAATCAACCCCTTGTTGCCAAGAAATTTTGGTCTGAGTCAAACTCATGACCCCAATGATGACCGCCAAGTCAAACCTCAAAATGCTTCACAACACAATTTAAGGATGAAATTTATAATGGGATTTTGCTTGGTAGTTTGATGGTCACTTCAAGACGTTATCGAACTTCTGGGCATTGTAAGTGAGCAGTACATTAAAAGATGAAATATTCAATCATTTTGTCCATTTCATCTAAGCCTACCTCAAATTTTTCTTTCACTCATTTCTCCTCTCAGCGCTGGACGTTTACTTCATTTCAATCATGATTTTCATTCAAGATATATTAGTTTTCCTACTGTTCACTCTTCTCGTTCCTGTTAATGCTTTACCTAAGAAAAATGCCGCTTCATCTACAACCAGTACAACAAAAGCGGCCACGTCTGGCGGTGTATCGACAGCATCAGATGGCTCCATGATACTAGATAAGACTGTTCAGATCAAGTAACTTCACCTTAATCCAAATGGTTTCTAAAATGCTAATGATACAGTGGCCTTCCCATTCGTTACAGAATCAGCGCTCCAGCCAAGATGTTCACCGCAGCATCAGGTGTCACTGGTGGCACATCAGCAGCTAACACAACCGGAGCAGCCGGTCTGAATGTGCTTCTTCATGGCGATGGTGGACAATCATTTTTCGATTTTCCCAACCAAGCCGTCCAGAATAACCTCATGGGTGTCGTCGTTCTCGCACCAAATAAAAATATGTTTTGGGGAGGCGGATCCGGTCTTCAACGTACAGACGGCGTCGCACATGCCGCTGCAGTCAATAAACTTATCCAAACCCAAATCTCCAACGACGTCGCCTTCGATCCTGGAAATGTATTCTTCACCGGTGTATCGGGGGGTTCTTTACTCCTATCTGGATTCTTCATGCCAGCATTTGGAGCACAGTATAAAACTGGAGTACTCCTCAATTGTGGTGCACTGACACCGCAAGTGGCGGTTGTGGATCCGACAACTTTGATGCAAAATACCAAAATTCATTTTCAGAGTACGAAAGATGAATTGACACTTTTGCAACCGGCTATTCCGAGTGCGATTTCGGCTTATGAGAAATTGGCTACGGAGGCGGGGATGTCGGCGGCGCAGATTGGGGGTATGCTGACTGTGGATAATACGCCTAGTGGAGGAGGTCATTGGTATGTTTCTTTGCTTCTTACAACTCCTAGCTCTTTACTCCGGAACCCCTTACCATGGAAAATGCGGCAAAGTTGCATGGATACAGATTGCTAATTCGAGATGTAATTGGAATAAATAGTGGATTTGATAACAAAGACTTCGTAACAGGAGTTCAGTTGATGGCTACGAATTATGCTAATATTATGGGTGCGAATGCTTCGGGTCAGGTTACGGGGATTGGAAATGTTTTGAAGGTATGTTTTTCTTCTTTGATTTAGGATTGCATGTTGCTTTAGATGGTGCATGCTGGATGGTGCATATTGGATGCAATTAAGCTAATATGATGGGTGAACTGTAGACTGTGGTCGGAAATGAGAAATTGGCTTTTATTAGTTCTAATTGAACTTGAAGGGGCAAGGAATTGGAGGGGTAGGGATAAAAGGAGTAGGGGAGTTTTAACTTAACCTTATATATCTGAGATAATACTACCTATAAGAAATTAAAGAAAGTCATTTATTAAAATAACCATCATACCACCATATCATCATAGCATGCATTCTTTCCCAACCTTCTCGTTACAATATAATATGCACAGTCGTTCTTGCCTATTTTGATACCGTTGTATATTCGAACTAGTCAACTCGCTACGAGTAATTCATCACATATACTTGTGCCTAAACCAAAAAAATATATATATCCTTGTTTCTTTGTTGTATTCACTACACTACACTACACAAATATTTTATTTTCTACTCGAGTAGAAGGAAATATATCTTATCTCATCTTAAAGTGAGATGAGATGAGGTGAGATAAGGTAATAAGCTATAAACATATAGGTTATGATTTGTCAGTTATATTTTTTGTGAAGATTCACTACCAACTCCAATCTTTTTACTCCAGCAACGTAGCTAAATAGTCTCTTTTCTAATTAGTATCCCACCCATTCTAATAATAAATCAACTACTTCGAATTTCACTTACTCGAGTACTTATTTAGAAGTCTGAGAGGCGCGGCCTGGTCTTTTAGAAAATTTGGAAAGGTCACTTGCTTTTAATTAAATTAGACTCTGAGCCAAAAACAAATGACGATTTGTTTGTTTATCTATATCTATGGGTTGAATTATTGAAGTATTTAATGACTGAAGTGTGGATATATAAGCTTAGTCATCGGAGTATAAATAATGGACCTCTATACTGTGTTGGTGTTTCCTCTCAAAGTTCGTGCGAGTGGACGAACGGGGCAGGAATGGGGTCTATGACTGGACGACCCCAGATAACCACATCAATGTTAGTAGTCTATCCTATATATACCTAACTACTCGAGTATTGGAATTATATTGTTTCAATGTTATGAACGCTGTTCTTTTACGATCGATAACCTTATACTCAATCTTCATATTCTAATTCTAATTAATTAATCAAACCAAATCTAGTACTCTCACATATCAAAGTTATGGCAACGGAATCTCAACATCATCAGACTAAATATACGAGCAACAATATGATTATAAAAACAACCTCACACAAGGCGAACATTGGCAAGAAACGAGACAAGAGAGGCGAAAATCGATCACTTCCTCGTGACAGATCTTTGACTGACTAGAAGAGATACTAGTACTGATAATGGTAATGGTAGTTGTGAAAGGAGAGAGAAGAAGAGTGCTTCTGTAGAGATCATAAATGATAAATCACGCAGGATTCGAGAGGAATGCGAGGAGAACTGACAGGAGAGGGAACGAGGAATTCAGAGAGGATGCTCGGGGAAGGCGTGAGGGTCGTGATTAAGAGAGTGAGGAGGGGGAGAATATAGTAGTGAGTGGGTCAGTTATGAATACTAGGTTGGAGAGGCTCTTTGTTTATTTTCTTATTCTTATTCTTACCAACACTTAATATTTTCTAATCGTATCTACGAACATACAAACAAGTGTACTCGTAAGTTCATGGGTATGATAATATCAACTCCATATAGTATTCAGTCTAACCATTTATACACTTTTATGTGACAACTTGACTGATAATAAGACTGATCTTCCAATGAGTTTCGCTAAACCATATGATAGGAACATCCCACATATCATATATCTCGATACCCACTGGTAGGCTACTGAAGTTTGTTCAGCAGAGATCTAGTCATGGCCTTTGAATGAGTCAACTTACTGTCAAGGTTGAATGATGGGTAGGTTATTGATTGACTCTAGCCGGCATTGTGTTAGTCAAGAGATTGATGGACAAAGTACGGAGGTGAAGATGTCTTACTGTTGCTATGATACCAAAGTCTATTCATGATTAGCAACCTTCTCTAACATTTGGTCTTACTTTATTTCCCCACTTCCCATACTGTACCCACAACCCGATGCAACAGTGAATCGGTTACGACCTCCAACAAAGTCTACGCCGCAGTTGGTGCTTTCTAGTGCATATCCTTGTACCATTGCCAGCCGGAGTGGTCAAGTTGGGCACGGTTGGGGGCTTTATCGTGCATACAGAGGTTTCTAGAGTCAGGTAGTCGGCGCAATGGTTATCCCTATGGAAAGATTTACTAGGTAAGCAACGTAATGACTAGTATGAAAAGGGCCACGGCGCATGCTTCAATACTACCATCAATATGCTGTACATCCACTGGTACTAGCCTCTTGGGGACTGTCGGATAGTATATACAGGCTATCGACAGACCCATTCAACTTCTACCTCTTTAGTCAAATCAATACTACGTTTCCCAACCCTAGCTTCCCACAACAGTGAGGTCCAAACTATAGGGTTCAGATACCATCAAGACTCTTCAGCCCAAATCATATCCTTCTCATCAAGCGAACACAAATTTGCACCCAAAAGCCATGTCTTCAATTTTTATCGCACTTGCAAAAGGTCTCAAGGGAAAAGTCTTTGAACCTGACAGTGATGTTTATGACGCTTCTTTGAAGTCTTATTTTACTCTTCAGGAATCACAGCTAAAACCATCCTTCATCATTACCCCTACATCTGCTCAAGATGTCCCCCAGGTTCTAAAATCTTTGAGAGCCATAAACTCCGAGACCGGTATTGCTACTAAAGTGGCGGTTAGAGGAGGCGGCCACAGCCCGTTTGCAGGTAGCTCGAATATTGACAATGGCATCACAATTGACCTACGAAATATTGATGCCGTTGAAGTGAACGAGAGTAAGGATATTGTCTCAGTTGGAGGGGGGGCTATGTGGGGTCAAGTATATGATAAGCTCGATGCAATGGGGCTTTCTGTGGTTGGGGGCCATGTTTATGATGTAGGAGTTGGAGGATTCACTCTGGGAGGTAAGTGTTGTCCCTGTTATTCTACTGTGCGATGCTCGTGTACTGATGCGAATCACAGGAGGGTTCTCTTCTTTTTCGCCAAGGTATGGCATGTGCTGCGATATGGTTGATAATTTCGAGGTGGTTCTTGCAGATGGTCAAATCATCAATGCCAATGCCAATGCAAATTCGGACCTCTGGACTGCACTCAAAGGAGGAAGCAACAACTTTGGAGTCGTGACCCGGTTAGATATGAGAACTTTTCTGTAAAGCAAACAATGGGCTGGGCTCGTTGTATATCCAATCCCCACCTTGGATGAGAACTTTAAGGCACTCGAAAGTATGCAAAATGATTGGGACCCATATGCTTCGATGAAGCTGAGCATAACGTTTTCACCTCAAACGAAGTTCACCATTGCATCAAACTTCGAATACACCAAAGAAGACAGCGCACCCGCTGTATTCAAACCTTTCATGGATATCATGCCCCAATACAGAAATACAATGAAGATCTCGACCCTCGGCGAAACTGCCAGAGACATCCAGAAAATGCAAGCCAATGGAGTTCGTCAGATCTTTGCTACTACATCCTTTCAATTTTCTGTTGCTCATTTGCAGAACGTGTTTGCTCTCTTCAAGAGTGCGGTTGCGTCTGTGGAATATGTCAAAGGTATGCGTTGGACCTTGACATACTGGCGTCTCCATGGCTCAATTACCGCGAAATCAGCGGCATCTGGAGGCAACTCAACAGGTCTTGATACTTCGCAGGGCTCTCTTGTTCTATGCATATTGACCTACTCGTGGGAAGATATATCTGACGATGCACGCATGAATGGAACAGCTAAAAGATTTATCGAGGAAGTTGACGAGTCCAGTAAGAGTGCGGGGTTGTTCGATCGCTATAAGTATGTTAATTATTCGGCGGGCTATCAAGATCCAATCAGTGGATATGGTGATGAGATGAAGAGCAGCCTGCAAGCAGTGAGCAAGAAGTATGATCCCGAGGGGTTTTTCCAGACCGGTGTTCCAGGCGGCTTCAAGATATCACGTTAGAGAATGTTAGTAAATAGGACAGGCAGAACCTAGAGGCAATTCAAGAAAAAAAGCTTGTCTCAACTTTGACTAGCATAATGAATTTTGTTCCGAATTTCGATAGGTGTACCGTAGCTGTTTCTGCGATTTGAAGGTAATTTTTGCCATTGCCAAGTTCCTGCACCTGCCGCCTCCGTCACGGAACAATGTCTTCCTGACAAAATGTCAACCTCTTTTGAAGCTTTTTTCTTACACCAAAGTTAAAATGAAAATCATAGTTATGAGAAGGTATGTACAAAGTATCTTCATTACATTGAAAACTTGTATTTAACTCTCCTGCATAGGAAAAATTGACGAGAAACTTTCAAGTCAAACCACCCTTCAATCAATCTGGGCATAACCATAAAATGTGACCTTGCATTGGTTTTTCTGCTGTTGATATTGCTACTTTAGAGATTCAGCATTGTTCCAGTATTATCCGCAAAGAAGCCCAGACGTCTACCTTATTGGATTTCCTATCTAGGTCATTCATATTTACCAAGTAGTCTCAATAGATGTTACTGCTAACCAAAATTACTTATAGGTCATGGCAGTGCTTTCATGGACAATGCTAATGCTCTTTTCAACCGTGGCTAATGATTATTTACTTCACCTGTATACTACATATCCAGCTGACTGGATGAAATAGCAACCATTTTTAGTGAAACGAACCGTTTGCACTCACCGTCGGCGGGCGGGTAATTGTTGTGACTTGAGGTCCGCAAGAGCTTTCTGAAGTATGGAAGAACTCAACCGCTCTCTCTTTCGACCCTTTTATAGTGGGGTTATTCAAATCTTTCGGTCAATCATCCAAGTTTATCGAAAGAGTCTTCATCACTGATTTAGAAACCCTTGTGCTACTCCACATCGCCCTCGGCCAGTTATGGATCAACTGATTTTTCAGAGAGATCCTCGCTCTCCAAAGCTCTGATGCAAGGTCGGACTCTAAGCGATGATGCACACGGGTTTAATCCACCTAGGTTTCTAAGGAACAAGAACTTGCATCGCAACAAAGGATATGTTCCTTTTGGAAGAGGGCATACTTACTGTTCCGGCCGCTTCTTTATGGGACGATTAACTTGAGACCGAGGCAGTACGGACTCTTCCCGCCCGGCTACGAAGACCCTTGGTGGCAGTATGCATTGATATCTCTGCTATTGCAAATAAACACTTCGATTCGTATATCAAAACACCACATCCCCCTCGACCCCCTCGGCCCTCCCGGGAACCCTCTGAAATCCTTGAGCCTCGACCTGCTGTACAACATCTTGGAGATCCGACATATGCACAAAAAGCATCTATTCCGTCTTCCCTTCAATCTATAGTATCAACAGCTAAAAAGCAATTACAAAAACAGCCACAATCATCTAATAAAATCGATACCCGGTTCTTTATCAGATTAGATACAAATCATCCAGCCCGCACAGCTGGCTCCTTTGCTGTATTAACAGCATTAAAAAGAAGGCTTGGAGAACATTATTCCCTTGTAACCTAGTAGAAAACAAATGAAGACATTTTATTAAAATACCTGTCATTATAATCACTATCGTACTATTATACCAATTGATATTTCCTAATCTTTTTGCTATAATACATACAATATACACACTCGTTCTTGCCTATCTTGATACAATTACTCCAGTCAATATGCTAATTTATATATATGTTCGTTTCTTGATCACTACACTATGCTACACGAAATCTCAGTTGTCTTTTATCGAATAGAAGGAAATATATCTTGTCTCGAATTAAAATGAAATGAGGTAAAATGATGAACTACAAGATAAGTTATGAATCGTTGCATCACTCGTGTTGTTTATGTTATTTGTGTTGTTTGGGTGATGAGAAGCTTGTTAACTCACCTTGATGAGATGGTACGGTATATTGTAAGACGAGATAGGTGGAATTTTATGGGTGAGTGATGAGGGGAGGGGAATTGCTGCATTTTCCTTAGACTCGACGTACTTTTAGCTAACAAAAACTATATGTTTGAAATGTTAAGTGCTCAAACTGGTAAATCCAGCTGACCTCTTTCTTCTGCAATCTTATTCTGCGCTAGATAACAGACTCCTTACTCTTTATATCATCTCATATCTCAGCAAGCAGTTGCATCTTCTGGGTTGCTTGTAACACTACAAAATAATTCCCACAACCCAAATTGAGCTCGAAGATGTGTTTCAATGGAGGGTACTCTTTATTTGCCCTTTGAAAGGGAGGATCTGATACGCAAGGTACGTTTATGATTCATCTGTACTAATAAATTATACCGATGACTTGGAACTTTGCAGCGGGTAGCGAATCGAAAACGACGTTGGTATTGGAGAAAGGATTTTTTGCAGAGAACTCAAGCCAGTCATGATATAAGTTTCTCAGTGAGTGTTGCTTACTACAGTGGACTGGTATCAAACGCGAGGATCGATACTGCATTTGATTTATCATCATTATCATTGGAGTCATGAACCTATGTGAGCCGCAGTGGCAACAACATACTCGTTTCGGACGTGGAACACGTTTCTAGCCCTGCGGTGTCGGAAATTAAGTTGTTTATTCGGCGGTTGCGGCTACCAATATACGGGGAACAGCTTGAGAGTGCATATGACTGGGGCTTGGGGGATCGATAGCTGGCAGACATGATCCATCGAGAAGTTTCGATGGGTGAGGATATAAAAAGTTGGTATGACTGAAAAATATAAATTTGTCCATAGCGTTGATTTTGTTCTATACCGTTTATGACTCCATGCTTAGAATTTTCCCTCCCTTTTTCCCCTTTATATTTCGTGATCTTTGGCATCTACTTTCTGGATTTCTACTTTCTCATCAACATAATATTTCAAAGCTGTAATACCAAAACATCCATCCACAACACACTTCAAAGCTGCAACATTAAAACATCCATCCACAAACACTTTTTACTCAACTCAATGTACGAGGAGCCTTTACTTCCTTTGCTTGTACTGACTGATAGTCTACACTTACCTACCGATTTTGTAGGTCATGTCATTAAACTCTGAGCCATTTATCGGGTCAAGGTCCGACTATCTACGAGTATTGATTTCCTCCAAGGTGCTTGCGCCCAGGCATGATATCATGAGATACAGGCAATTCGAAGGAACAACATTATTTCTTTTCGGAAATCTTCCTACGGAAATTCGATGCATGATTTGGAGGGTGACATGTTGTCCTCGGATCGTAGCCGTCAATAACAGAATAGATTGGCATGGCCGGTCTTGGTATGACTCGAACGCCCTACAAGATCGTTTAGCTGAACGTATCTCATCTCATCCCGCAACTCTTTGCGTCAACAAAGAAAGCCGAGAAGAGACAATACGCGAATATGTGTCGCGTTTTGTGACACCTCCTCGATCGCCAGCAATATTTCACCTACCATCAGATACACTTGCATTGTTTTTTTTATTCTGGTGGTTTGTCTTCTGTATTTTGCATCCAAGAGTGCTGTTGGAATCAAGGGCTCCTATTTTACACCATCAGTTGTCCTGAAGTGCTGCAGAACGTCAGCTCCTTGATCATACCGAGAGCACACATCAAAGATATGTTGTTAAGGTTTGAGAAGCCTCAGCTCAATTACAGCCATGAAATATTCAAGCTTGAAAACTTGGAGGAGCTGATAATAGTTTCAGAAAGCCTGGATCGAATGTCTCGAGATCATTATCCCAGTCTCAAGGCGGTGAATGAACTGAAGATGCTATTGCGAGAGGGCTTTAGGGAGAAGAAGAAGATGGATGCGAATCGGCGTATCCCGGAGATTATCATCTATCCCGTGGGTTTCCCGTTGCCGGTTTTCAGAAATGAGCTTCCAACCCCTCTCGAGGCGTTTAAAGCATGGGCAGAGAAGAGGGGATATACAGGCAACCCGGAGGATTTTGGCATTGAGGAGGCAGTTGAAGACGTAGAAGACGCATAAGATGCAGATGACGAGTTTTTCGATTGAGATTGGGAGATGTTGATGCCGCTGATGATGGACTTGCAGTGGTTTAGAGCTATTGAATTGATTGATTTCCTTTTCATCCTTATTCTATTTCAAAAAATCAAAAAATAGTCTTTTGATATGGTCAAATTGTACAAATACACAGCTAGCTCTTTCTTTTTCCTCTCTTCCTCTCTCCCTTCCCCTTTTTCCTCCTTTTGCATCCTTCACCTTTCTCCTCCTCCCCCACTTTCTATCATTCACTTGAGTGGCGACCAACCTCCTCTAGTCCGGACCCCACTTATGATTATGAAAAAATCTCCACTTGAACCTCGTAAAGAATTTCTAAGCACCCTTGATCATAACCATGCCTTTTTAACACCCACCGGTATCTATGATAGCAACACAGCAACGCAATATAAAATGCCAAAAACAAAAATGTATTAACAAAAAACACACAAAGAAATAAGATCGTAATGCAACATCCGTGAATCGAACACGAACCTCCACCTTGGAAGGGTGGAATCCTAACCATTGGACCAATGAAGCTGGATGGATAATCAACTGTTTTGCTTTGTTTGATGATGGTTACGGTGGGCTGAGGATATATAAATATATTAAAAAGACTTAAGAAAAAATGGGGAAAAAATGGGATGTTGGTGGGGTGAGGTGAATGGGTGGAGATCAAGTTCGTGCTACGGGCTACGGTGGCCGATATCGTGTTACATCTTTGGTGCTTGTATTGATACGAGTATTACTCTTGGGAATCGAAGTGTCAATAATGATGTTAATGGTCATGCTAAAGGTGATGCTTATAAGTTGTGTAGCGTTACGGTTGGTATTTTACTCGTATAGACATAACATTATCAACGATGAAAACTGCATTTTTCCTATCTCCATCAATCCCATCGTTCTTTTTAGATAAGTTATTTTGATTTTGAGGTGAACACTACTCGAGTAAAATTAATATGAATGGATGTGTAACAGGTGTAGCGCCGGCTACAATAGTCGTCGGTTGATTTAAGCGAAGGGGTTTTACTCCTTTTCAGCGCAAGTAAACTTATCTTGTGTACCGGTACTCGAATACTTGCTATCAATTGGGTCGAGTTAGTTGTGGATAAATTTGCGATGATGGAAGATATTTTGAAGAATTATATCTTGATAGACCGGTGAATTAGGAACTGCGCGGTGGAATTATAAATAATACAGAGTACGCAGCGGGAGTGCCTATAATCAATATATGTACTAGTAGGTGGGTGTGCGTGTGTGAAACATAATTTCTGATCTGATTACTTGAATTAGAATTCTTTGCTTGAGGGTTCGCTATATTATCCTGTCTATAGATCGTTCGATTTCCTTGATTCACTGGGATAATTCATTGTTTCTGGTTCACTAGTGTGTGTGTATGAATAGATTTCATGATATCACTTTGCGAAGATGGATATGAGTGGCAATTTTGGGTTTCTTGTATCTCTTTCCCTCTCAATTCTAGGAGAAAGATTTGAGGGCCTCTTCGTACACATATTGACTGCTACCCACCAGTTCATTGAAACATATCCCCGTACTCGAATCGAACATTACATCGACAAAACCTCCTTCATTACAACGCTCGATCATCATCGAACAGAATTATCAAGCACATCACCATGACCTTAACACGCTCCAACAACCTCATCATTTCGTTCATTCTCGTCGCCCTCTCACTCATCACTGTTACAAAAGGGCAATTAAGTACGAGTACATACTCTACAGAAATAACCGTCGTACCCGTATACGCAACACCCACCAATTTTCTCGCAGACGCAAGTGCCAGAGACGCCACATACACAATTTCCACCGTCATCGCACATTCAACGCACACTGGAACATTCCGTCAGAACCCCAATGTTTCCATCTCTTCATGAACAACACATTGCTAATATCGGGTAACAGAGGGATGTTGTTTCTTGCCCTGGGCTATGTATGAATCATGTAGAAATGACACCGCTTGTGCGTCGGCATATGCTACGGCTTCGGTATTTCTCTTTATTAAATCGGAAACGGAACCAACAGCGACAGTGACTTCGGGGAATAGACCAACATCGACATCGACTCCAAGTTCTAGTTTGGGCGAGAGAAGTGTGCGAGTGGATTTATTTTTGATAGGGGTGTTTTCTATTTTAGGAGCGTTCGCGGGTATGGGGGTTTTTCTGTGAGTAGACGATAGCATCCTTGGTATAGGGGTTAAGAATTGAGAATATAAAATGAGAGGTCGTTTTATTTTTAATTGGTAGGAGGATTACAAAAGTGTATTACTAGAGCCAGTTTTTCGTAACTTGACCAAATACATTTATACGTTGAATTTTGCACAAGCCTGACTACTAAAATATATATTCTCAAGGATATATATGTGGTATTGGGAATACTACAAGCTTCGCACCATCTCATATGTATTAAGTCATAAGACTCAAGCATTATTTTTACTCGGTAAAACATATATACTTGGATGACTCCTCAATCACACATGTAAAAGTTGTTCCCGATTTTTGTCTATTCTTATCTTCTACACAACTCCAAATCACACACACAACCACCATAAGAGCCTGATACAAGTATATCTGTTGAATTAAATCACTAAATACAACTCATCCACACTGAAACAAACATCGAAATTCGACTGTCAAAGTAATCACCCACATCTATTACAATTATCGCAACCCTCACTATGATCTCCCCAACTCACAACAAAGTCATCCTCCTCATCCTCATTGCCTTCACAATAATTACCACCACTCAATGCGAGCCTTTTGACATTCCAGGGATACCAGGTGCGATCGTCAGCGCTTTACACTCTATAACTCTCCCTGTCGAATTACCTCACACGACCCAAACTTCTGTTCCTACATCGACCAAGTCAGGCAGCGTTAATACGGCTTCTGCATCTTCTGATTCTTCGGAGACGGATGGTGAGAAATTACATGTTTTCTAGAATTTTAAGGTTGTCTTTTAAACTGATAGTTGCTAATGAAAGTGTGGTTTTAGCTGAAGGTGGCTGACAGAGAAATTATGAGATAAACTTACTTTTGATGTCGCTTTTGCCGCCAGTTTTGGAATTGATTACATGGGCTATGGGATAGCTTTTGTGAGTTGAAGGAAGGGAGAAGCTGTTTTATTGGGTTGCGAACTATATACGGGGAAGTTTTTGGAAGTTAGGAGATGTTACGTTGGGGGTCGAGAGTCTTTGGATGTGCTAGACGTTGTACTTTAAAATGCCTGGAAATATACGCTAATGTTATACCCTACTACAATACTGAATCTAATTTTTCTATTTTGGAACGAGAATTTGATTGGGTGGTATTAATGGCTTATTTATGGCTAAGTCGTTCGATTCTTACAGTATCACAAGAGCGAATTGCAAGGTCCTAGTCAATGAATGAATCATTAGGATCGATGACTCGATATTGATTAGTAGTGCATATCAGAATTATTCCGGATCCCTATCTTAATTGTCCTAAATATCACGGCCATTCAAAACTCGCACACAAATCTTTCAGATCTCGAATCGAACTTACGCATTTACATATCACCATTGTTAGATCGGCCCCCTTACGGTCTTAGTTCAAGAGACTAAATTATCAAACAGTAAAGACATCAGTCACTTCTACGATTATACTCATCATCAACATCATGATCTTCTCACATTCCAATCACTCCATTATCCTTCATATCCTCATCTTCACATTCATCGCTTTCGCTCAAGGATCGGCCGCAGATGTAAAGACAAAGGTCAAAACCAAGACTAAGTCCGATGAATACACAACCGTCCCCACATATCCCACGCCTGCCGATTCTGCTGCAAACCCGACTGCCACCAGTGCCAAATATACCGTCACCATTACTTCCGGAGCTAGCATATCCACACCTGTTTTTGGTAAGAATCTTGATAGTCCTATAGATGCATGAAGAAGAGATAGCTAATGCATATTGAAGATGGTTGTTGTTTCCTCGATCCTCCTCAAAATGGATGCGGTCGGGACACAAGTCAATGCAAGGGAGCGTGGATTGTGAAGAGGAAGGGCTCTGCGCAGAGTGCTGCGCAACGAAGTGCGATGAGCATTTTTTGGTTGGGTATTATGTGTGGGGCGGGTCTTTTTGGTGGTATGGCTCTGATGCTTTTATGAGGTGAACAGGAGGTAGAGATGGGGTGATGAATAAACGGGGGTGGTCATGGTAAGGATATTGCGGATAGAGAAGTCTATATTTTAACACAGATCACACAAAGGGCGGCGGAACAATGTATTATTATAGCCTGATTTTGTATCCTATGAGCTACACACATCTTAACTCCATCATGGCCTGTACTAATACAAGAACAGGTAAGTGATGTTTCATACCATGTCATCCTTCCTAGCCCTGAGTCCCAGTTTCCTATACCCACAGGAATGAAATAAGAATCGTAAGTCAAACCTGATGGCTCGATACAACTGTAACAACTATATAAATTAAGCGATACATAAAAAGTAACTCTGACTCTTCCTCTTTCAACCCCCGATTAAAACATTCAGCTACGAAACACTTTTATCATCAGAATAAACAAAATACACAAAGGTTTACTTACACGATCATTCATATCTCAAGTCTCTATATGTAGAAGAAAGCACGCTTTGCCCGTGAGTTTCAACACATTGAGAAGTATGTTCTCTAGATTTGAGAACACCTTTATTCGCGGCGTGTTTGAATGGGATGACATGGCACGTAGACTGGTGTCGATTGAATCCTATAACTGATTCACATGTTTAGTTGGTGCTGGGATACTGGATTTTGGCATGATAGATGAATTTTCTAAAGACTTCAAGTCACCTCCAAAACTTTGGGCGTTTTAGTACGTAAACGTGCCATCCTCGACTTGCCTTTCTGAATTAGAGTCGGTGAGAACATATCTTTTTCTTTCTACTCTCATGTTACCTTTCACTATCAGGGCTTGTTGAATTTGGGAGTAAAGGCTACCACAGGGGCCACGAAATGAGAGAAGGAAGACTAAACAATTTACACCAGTACATGGGCCAGTTGGTGTCTGTACATGGTAGACGTTCCCGTGACAACAACTCGCTGATGACATTTCTCAAACCTATCGAGTACGCGAAAATTTCCGCTCTTCAATTCTTCTGGCGACACTTATCTACCTCATATCTACCCCATTAGGGCCTCTGCTATCATCGACAACAATTTGAGAGGCTGATATGTTTACAGCTGATCTGACTACAGCAGATTAAGGTCGTTTTTTGCTTGGGCTAGTATCAATTGACTTTGAAATTGATACCCTTTCTTGACCTTGCAAGCAAAACCCGGCCAAAAAAAACTCCGTGACATATTCACTTCAGTCTCACCAAGCATATTGGCACCTATTATCAAAGAAGTGAGCACTCAAGTAGAATTCAGCGCTGTGATTGACCTTTCTGGGACTCAAACCACGATCCCTATTCTTCTTTCATGAATGTACTGTTCCCAATCTCGGAAGCAACCGAAGAAGAATACGCCAAAGCAGTTGCCGAGTCCAACACTAGACTTTGGTCTTTTCATCAAGAAGATCCTTCCAGCCGGTGGATCTAAGTGACCGACGACGCGAACAGCAAGCGACTAGTATACAGCGGAGCTCACTGGAACTTTCATGAAACCTCTTCGCCTTACAAAGAAGTTGTCCCGGAGTTAGTGGCACTGTGGCATCCGGAAGGTGTCGGTCGAGATTTCGCAAGTAGGGTCTTAAATCAAGTCTATTGGTTTATAGGCGAACGTTTGTGGAGACCTCATTGTCGTATGGAGTTCCCAATTCATGGATCATATTCCTATGCTAATCTACTTCAGAACTTGACTATATGTTTACCTACACCAATCAACGTTGTAAGGGATATGGAAGTATGCTTATGCAATGGGGAATGGAGAGGGCCGAGAAAATGGGATTAGAGGTGATTGTGGAATCTAGCGAAATGGGTTATTCTCTTTACAAAGAGTTTGGTCTGAGGCCTATAGAGAAAATTGCCGTCGACATGCGCGTTGAAAATCCTAGCAATACTTGGAGAAGGCTCGAGTCCGATCTTGGCCCTGTGTTAATTTGGTGGATGCGGAAGCCTCACGGTGGAGTTTGAAAGACCGAGCTACCCTGGGTGGCTAAACTTCCGGCATGATCTTTGAATAGTTTGCGTTGAGATTCTTACCATAGTGCATGTCTTCGTACTAGGGTTTATCAGAGCTTGGTTTAGGCGTGAGGATGCCATGTGTCTAGGGACGGAACTACATAATTAGATAACCACATGCTCTATTCGGAGAATTGTCCCCATATGAAAAGATTTTGTCTAAAGCTCGACCCAGACTTTGGAGATGTGCTGCTCGAGATAGGTAAGATTCGAGAACAAAATTTCTTGGACCGATCTCTAGTGCTTGAGTCAGACATGCCATTCTCAATCTCAATCTCAACACTTTTCACCCACTTATGACTGTGTAAACTCATAGGATTGTATGAATCAGGGTAATTCTTAGAAAAGCAGTTGATAGTTTGGGATTATTCAATGCAAATGACGCAGAAAACCTCTTTGATCATCAAACTAGCACTAGTGTCAATTTTCTTGAGGTTTATTAGTTCCGGTTTCCCTCCATTTTCTCTTGAATACCTCAAACACATTATCTTCGACGCCCAAAACAACTATCTCTCGAAGCTTTCAAATTATATTCTTCACTCATAACAGGCTTTGTTGGAGCTAGACTGCTCAAACCATAATATCAGCATCTTCATTGTTGAGATCTCTCTTGATTAAATATTCAAGCAAAACTACTTTAAACCAAGAGCACTCAAATTAGAACACAAATAGCACAAATTCAGACCGGTAAGTCTTATCCTTCTCGTACTTGAGAAGAAATTCAGAACAAATAATATTTCTAAATGCTGACAGAATATTAGATCATCAATCATGCAGCCTAAAAACACGTTGATTGCGCAAAAGTTCAGAAAACCTTCATCAAAGAAGATGGAGAATCGCACAAGATATGAAAATTCTCCAAAATTCTATTTATTCCCACAGCTGTCCATGGAGCTACGACAAAAAATATGGAAGTTGAGCTTTCGCGGTCGTATTGTTGAAGTTGATGTGAATTTATACGCTGGAGGTGGACACTATGCCTCCTTCTGGGGACGCTCGCAGATCATTGCATGCCAAACTATCACTCCAAACCCAGCCACTCTTTTCGTAGATCATGAAAGTCGAACACAGACCCTGAAATATTACTTGGATCTTCTTCCGGGAATCTCGGATGTCCCGACGTACTTTTGTGCTTCTATCGACACCTTCGCTCTGCATGATACTTTCTATAGTAGAGCCGACGTTAATGGAGAGTACAACATACATCCTTTAACACATAATTTTGGCAGTCTTATTGGTCTTCTTACAGCCTCGGAACTTATGAGCTCTGTCAAGACTTTGATCTTCTCAAATTTCAATCTTTACAACTTTCGCGAGGCAGATCACAATGATCTGGTTGCTTCAAGACACAAACTTTTCTTACCCACTTCCGCAGATTTATTCAGACTTAAATCTTTGGAAGAGATCATCTTCGTGACTGATAAAAACAGACCAGTCGAGGTCCCGGGATTCGAGAAAGACGGAGATGCGGTGAATTATATGAGGAGCACTCTCGCCGATACCTTCAAAATGCGCAAGAATCAAGACCCATCTTGCCAGATCCCACGTTTCACGGTGTATAAAGAGCCTTTCCGCCTTCCAATCTTTCGCGATGAAATGCAGGAAGCGTCTGATTCACGGGTTGATGAGTATTATGAATTGGAGGAGAAGACTGCAGAGTGGTTCGATTCCGAGTATTGATTAGGGAAGCGCGGAGGAAGTGAGGAAATTAAGATAGATATGAAAAATGTATGGCTTTTGGAATGGAACTGGACTTCCAATATCTGTGTTCCGAAATTGTGATACCGGTATATCAGAGGTGACCTTACGAGTCCAAACTTTACACAAGATGAACATTTATGATTTCTTTTGCGGGTTCAAGCCATGGACGAGGAACCCTCAAGTGTTGAGTGTTTCTCTCCAAATGCAACTGTATGTGTCGTGGGAGTAGCTCATACTTTAAGACACCATTTCAACTTCTTCCTCTTATCATCGAGCATAATACGTCAAATCAACTATGCATACTTCATAAATTTCAAAAATAGCTTCAAGACTCTTCCACTCTGAACATCAACTAACTCCCTGTGTAGAATATGCCTTTCAAATCCATAAAATGCATAGGAACGATAATACGAGCAAATATATGTGAGTTTGACGTAATACGCCGGCACTGGTGAGGAATAATATCACTTGCAGGAAATGGGCCAACTATCCGAGCAATAGAGTAGTTATAGTTTCATAAAGTTGCATTTTGAGCAAATCAACTTTAGAGTAAAGCCAGGCATCATCATGTGTTGAAAATCCAGGTGCTATAGGTTAGCTAAGAATTTTGCATCTCAGTCCCCGTTGTTCCCACAAGACTAAAGGAAAGCCTTTTCATCTGCGACCTCTTGCTTTTGATTTCGTTGATGTTGTAACCACTCTACCAGGAGTTCGACGCTAATGACTTTGTCTTTCAATTCCTCCATCAGCTCTTCATCTGGAGCCTCGGTCATAATTCTTCGAATATTCGTAGAGCTGACACCATTCGAAGCACTGCTTTGTGAGGCACGGAATTGAATTATCGGTTTTCCAGGTACGGTCGACGCTTCGCATATCCACAACACACCAGGACCCCCCTCTGACCCATTAACCAATTTGTCACTCTCCTCCGCACCTTTTTCCCACTTCGTGCAGCCTGGTAGATCTCTCGGAGCCTTTTCATTCTTGGGATCGAAAAAATCTACCGGTCTCCTTGCATTGATGATAAGAAACTCATCAACCGGACCCCATTCTTGCAGGTTCCCCGGATGTAAATGCGGAGCGCTTTCGACAGTCAGCTTGTCACCACCCAACAATCCTACCAACTTGACTTCAAATCCAGCTTCCGAAATCAGATCAGTCATTGTACGTAAGACTTGGATGTGATTGTTCATATCTCCTACGAAAAGCTGAAGCCATCCAGACGCTACAAGTTGAGAAATCTCGGGGACCCGGTAGAAGAGTTTGTAGCGGAGATTTTGTGGAAGAATGATGTCACCCCATTTCTTCTTTTTACTGTTGACAATCGAGCCAGGGTCTACAAAAACAAACATGACGGTGATTCCGAGATCCTCGCGGCGCTCGTGAAAGTAACGGATTGTGGCGAGGTGGCCTTGATGAGGTGGATTGAAAGAGCCTGAGTAGAGGAGGATGTTGTTTCTGGCCTTTGTTTCAAGGACGGGACAGGTGATGTGACTGGTTTGTGGGATGAGATTGTTATCAATATCTGAAATTGGAGAGAAGATGCTGGCCAGAATGTCTCCAGTATTGATGGGGCTGCTCAGGGCTTTTTGTAAAAATGGCTGAATGGTATCTGAAAGGTTTTGATGATCTGTGTTTGGAATATGTGTGGACTCCGGATTGCCTTCTTGAACTTCACTCATAAGAGCGACCGATGGTTCTTTTGGAGATGAATCCATCATGGACGTTTGGTTAGGATATTGGAAGGTTTGTCAAAGGAATTGGCTTGGAATTATTGGAAGTAGAAGAATTGAGGAATATGAAAGACCGACGAGGCTTTTGTAAAACCTTCTCAACAATTTGTCTCATTGACTCTGTGAATCATGAGCCGTTGCATTCACTCTGCACTGCATAGTCTGCAGGCTTTGTAAACGCACTTGATCCACAGTCTAACTGGCCGTCCTGATAGTGAATTAGACTTCTTATGTGAATCGGGGAATTGAGTGACAGTAGAGCCGAGTCCACCTATTAAATATGATGTTGACAAATGAGATTTGAAGCTACTTTTCAATGATATTTCATCCCCTGAGCGAAATCTGTAATCAGACGGTAGAATTTAAGAATTCTGCATCAACGCTTCAATGATACATTTCAGAATATTAAATCAGAATCCGATGATTTCGACTTCTTATCTCTCGTTACGAGAAGATCATTCAGATCTTCACTTGAAAACTTTCCCTATCTTCAGTGTTTCTCTTCTCGTAAAAGTTGACAGAGTCAACCTAGTCTCATGGATACACACCGAATTGTATATACTTTGATCGAGTTATGTGAGTACATATTTCAATATTCAGTAAGTCAGAATGATTTCAATATTTTAATTCTTTATACAAATGATTAAGGGTTAGCGATGATAAGGTTGTAACGACGAAGGGTACGATAGTGAGGGAATAAAAGGTTTAGGAAAGGGTTTAAAGGAAAGAGAAATGTTCAATGGAAGGAAAAAGGAAAAGGCTCGGAAGCCCGGGAGCCTGGGAGGCTTGCGAGGGGGGGGATGGTTATCGATGAAGGTATTCAGGTTGTAGGGATAAAGAAGGGTGCTCTTTTTATTATGATGTGAGGTGAGATTATATAGAATCCACTAGAGTCACACCTTCTATATTGATCCCTAACATCGATATCAAAGGATTAGCTTCAAATCTCAATACATGTTTTGAATCTAAATATATATATTGAAAGAACCCTTGCAAAAATTGTATGATTTCCTTTTATGAAGTGCCCTTAGGAATAACATTGATTTTTGGAAGTTAAGGTATTACGCTATCTTCTATAAAACTTTGTGACGTATGTATAACCCATTATCGGTAGTTGATTTGAGCCTCAATCATACAGGGAAATTTGAACGCTAACGTAGACTATCTATCAACTAAAGCCATTAGTTCATCCGTGGTCGGTGCTGAATGATCGACGCCAGAAACTTAACGGAGGACTAGACCAGATACTCTTTAGACTGAAATTCTTTCGTCATCGATTCTTCCAAAACTTCCGGCTACTTATTGTCACTGTTTCTTTCAATTCAAGGGAAATTCATACAAACAGAAAGAGCTGGCGTATGCACATATGTGCTTTCATCTCTCAATACGCAGCTCAGGTTATATACAATTTGAACTGGATATATGCTCAAGTACTACAACCCCCTCGAATACCAAGGCGAAATCTTGCTGCATACCCTGCAAACTGAGTAATGCACTTCACACGCTCGGTTAAGCGGAGCATAAACGGAGCCCACAAACTCACAATCCATCTTCTCTGATACATTTCATTTCTCCCTCTCATAATCTTCTACATTTTCTTTACTTCACACCCGTCTGCCGCCGATATATAATACCTTGGATAATTGGAATCATCTACTCTCACCACATACCTGATCCTCACATACCATCCCCTTTCGTAATACCCATTGCACTTATAGTGTCTCTACAATAAAGCACTCCTATGGAACCTAAAAACCCCTATATCGACCTACTTTCCATCAGAATTTACGCTATGGTGCAATACTCGCATGTACCCAACGGTGTAACGCCAAAGAGAGTTGCCATCTCCCAGGCTGTTTCCAAGATTTCTCCTGGCAATATACGAAAACGATGTAAGTGATACATTTTCTCAAACCGAGTTTATTAGTCTGAAGAGGTCCAATGGTCCAGTCTGTAGTCCAGATTTGAAAGCTTCGATGTTGAGTTAGCTGTTTCAGTGTTTCTATTCGAGTATGCATTGAAAATCGGTGTACATTCAAGATCTTAATAATTGTCTTGATTTTAAGTCGATATATTTATCAATATAAGATATAAGACAGATTCGAGGATTAAGAGCAATGTATCATCAGACTGCAGTCCGGATTACTAAGGACCCTGGCTTCCAGACTTCTACTTCAACCTGTGATAGATTTAATGTATTAAAAGATTACTGACCCTCAACCGTAGTGTTATCAAAACTGTCCGTGTCAAAAAAGCCAATTGAACCGGTTTCCGGTTATTTCTCCAATCTTCCACTCGAGATTCGTCTCAAGATTTGGCGCGCTTGTTTCGAACCTCGCCGTGTTACCATATGTACACGATACAAGTACATCACGCCGAAATTCAAGCATGCTGTGTTTGGGATGTCGGGTCTTTGGGTTCCAGTAATCATGTCCTCACACGCGAGTATGCCCTTAACTCTCTTCATCAATCGAGAGAGTCGGTATGAAACACTTAAATACTACCCGGACTTGATTCAAAACCCCACTCTGTTTTGTGATCCGATATACTTTAATTCGGAGCTTGATTCGCTCGCTATCGAAACACTTCAACAGAGAAGCTTCTCGGGAATCCGTGATGTTATCATCACTTCGTTGAGGTGTCGAGAACTTTGGTGTGTAAAGGAGAAGCAAATCAAGTCTGAGGTTTCGGAACAACTCATTGCACTCGGGCTTCTCTCGGAAAGTTTTCGTGAGATGGTGCGTTGGCTGGTGATTCCCCGATGCGTCATGAATTCTACAGTTACTTCTGGTATTGATCACGGGAATGACGGGTGGAATCCCGTAGGCATTACCCAATTTAGTAATTTGAGAACCATCACATGTTCATTTCATGTTCGTAGTCTCAAGGAGATTGAGGTTGTACAGTTAGAGCTAGGTACATGGGGGGTGTTTGACTTACGGTATATTCCCCAGTGATGGAGAACCAGGAGAATGTAATACAATAGTAGCAATGATGAAGGGTGGGATCTTATCAACCATTAGCTTTATACAGCGTATTCAAAGTCCCCTCCTCTCCTATCCTTGACTTAAGGAGAGGAGGAACTTCTTCAGCTTGAAGGAGAGGAGAGGAGAGGAGAGGAGAGGAGAAATGAAATTCCGGGAGGAGACAAAGGAATTTTAAGGTTCAGGAGAGGAGGGAAGAGGAGAAGAGACAAATATGCTTGTATTTTATTATTAAATGCTATTATAGATAATATATTATTCATAGTATATTATCGTATAATATACTATAATATACTCGAGTACATTATCACATAACATCTACAAATTTTAATATATATATCGTCAAAGTTACGGATATTTTCGCTTTACCAACCACTATAGTAAATGGTATAGGTATAGAAGATTGTGAACTGGGAGTCCTGTACTAAGCAGGATTGTAAATCGAATATAGTTATCATTTTAGACGTATACGAATTTTTGGGCTGAAAGTTAACGCCTCCTTTTACTCTAGTTCCTATTTCAATCTTCCCTTGCTTTCTCACTCCCTTTCCCATTCCTATCTTCTCCAACTCCTCTTTCTGCAACCACACCGCGCCCATTCTCCCCCAAAACCTCATCAATCGTCCTAACCGGGCCCTTAAAAAAGGTCCTCCCCCCAAACCCCGGCACCCAATAATACACCACACAGAACAGCAACACGCACCCCAACACCACCACCGCATAATTCATTTCCTGTGCATCCGGATTTTTATACGATGGGAAAAGAAGCAAGATAAAAATAAACGTCATCCACGCCACCGAATATATGGCGCTGAGATAACTGATCGTGTCGCCCATGTACCAAACGCCGGGGGTGAAATTGTGGAAAAGGAGACGCGAGATGAGGGGCATGCAGTAGGCGAAGTAGAGGCCCATGATGGCGAGGTTGAAAATGCTGTTTATGGCGATGGTGTTGATGAGCATGAGGAGGCCTTCGGCAAGGGTGCAGAGCACGACGAAGGAGATGGCGCGGACGGGGGTTTTGTTGGAGGATAGGACACGGAGATAGGAGGAGAATGGGAGGCCGTGGTCTGGGTGAGATTGAGTTAGTCTGTTTTCACACTATATCCCAAATCCATGATTGGTCGGGAAACATGGTAATACAACTAACCTCTAGCAAAAGCAAAAGACTCCCTTGAAGCTGCGACCATGAGAATCGAACAGTTGGCTACACTTGCAATCCACAAGAAGACCAACAAGGCGACACTTCCATTTTTGCCCAGACTATTGAATGCAATCTGTGCCAATGGTTGACCCAAAGGTGACGTCACGATACTTATCACATCTGTCCCCATACAAAATGCAATAGTGATGATAACGGCCCATCCAGTTACAGCCGCTGTGACCAGCGAAGAGATCATCGCGAATGGCACTGCTTTTGCTGCATTACTCGCCTCTTCCGCTATAGTTGCTGCACTTTCAAAACCAGATACGACCCATACTGGTGTAAGGAATGAGAGCATGAATGCCCAACCGTTGTTTGTCCAGAATCCGGTATTTTGAAAGTCAGTGAAAACAAAAGCTGCGGAGTTTTTGAATCCCGAGGGTGTTCCAGCAGCGAGGGCAATAATTAGAGCGAATAGCATGGCAAATTGCAAGAAGATGTAGAACATATTGAGACGAGAGAGGGTTTGTGAGGGCACGCAAGTCATTCCGAAGGTCAAGAAGGTAGTTGCTGCGAACATGCCGTAGTTTTGATACTTCGTAGCCACAAAGACGGAATCTGTGCTGATACAACAGATTGCACCTAGAATGAGCGTCGCCGCATATATCGTCGATGCGTATATGGAGATATACCCCAAGACATTCATGTAACCGCTGGAAACACATTGTCAGTATGTGGTCCTGACATGAGCACAGAAAAGTAACATACGCAAGCCAACACATGAAAGCTCTCTGCCGTGGTGGAGTAAGACGTGCAACCCACTGTCAACCGTCAATATGAATCCACCAAACTTTCTCGGAAATCGTCACTTACATAGTACAATCCTCCAGAAGTGGGCATGCTGCTGCCGAGTTCCCCCAGGCTCAAAGCTACTGGGATGAGCAACAAACACCCAACCAAATAAGTCCATACCATACCCACACTCCCAGCACTGCCCAAACTGAAAACCATACTTTCAGCAATGGCTGGAGCAATTCCCATAGCTCCAAAGCTTTGTCCGAAGACAGTGACATAGGAAAATTCACGTTTCAATTCGGCTCGATATCCCAAGGTTGCTAACAACTCATCGTCCGCTGATATTGTTTCACCTTCTTCCACTCCCAATATATCAGCCGTCTTCGTAATCTGTTCCGATCGTGATCTGGACGGGGCCTTGCTCCCATCATGGCCGCCCTTTACCAAAATACTGGTAGTTTCCTCAAGCATCATGGAACGCAGCTACGCGACCCGGAATGTTGACAAAAGGGTTCTGAACCTATTGATAATTCTCGAACAAAGCGATGGCTCTGGTGAATATCCACCCGGCTAAACTAACAAAACTAGGTTTGTTGTAAAGGTGAATATGGGAGATCGAAAAATGGGGTATGAAATCCTTCTAAATTAGATCCCGTCCGAAGCTCCTTCCAAAAAAGCTTCATTCAACATCAAAATTCGAGTTAAGGAAGCCATTGTTCACAGAAATCAAGGACTCTCTCTATCTATCTAAATCGTCCCATTTTCGAGCCTCGCCATACAGCGTGAAAACTTCACTTTGAGCGCACCAATAATTGATGTCGTACGAATTGAAGGCCTTGGCGATGTGGTGCCAACCACAGTTTGGGGATTGTTAAGATAACGAATCTGGGGGAGCCATGCTTCCTAGTGGTTGCAGCGGATAAGTCTGATAAGAACCCCTGAATTGATATAATCAGCCCTAAAGCTAGAGCGCGGTAGTATCGATGTATTGATATCGATATCGATGAACAAATTAATTGTGTACGAGTAATTCAAGATATGAAGAACAACCACTTATACCCCATTCTGAGGTTTCCTCGTCTCGTAGAGACTCTGACCGCAAATTACTAGTATAGTCCGTGCATAGGCCAAACTATACCGAATGCGTAGTTTTCAGATCTCCGGAGATAGTTCTTCCGATCCGAATCTGAAAACTACGCATCCGGTTAGATCAGAAATGGAGTAGGCAGGCTTTGATATATGACTAGTGAGTTTTTATAACCACACTACAAGATTATCTCGCTTAGGCCTGCAATCTATAAAAGCACCCATGTGCAGCCACTAT